TCATTCTATGGAATGTTATTTTTAGGTATTTACGTATAATGGAATAAAGTACTGCCTGGTCACCCAACAGAAATACAAGTCAGTAAACAAACTACAGATGCACATATACTGGATTGAACGGTACCCCCAAAATTTGTGTTGTAAATCCTATGCTCTATGCCTATGGTTCTAAATCCACTTGGGAATGAATTACCTTTGTTATGTTAATGAGACAGGATTCGTATAGTCTAAGTCAGTCTTTTTGAGATATGAAGTAATTAAACAATTAGAGATGGGGGAAAACACATGCCAAGTCACATGAACATCACCCAGGAGTGGAAGCTCAAAAGAAGCAAAGACCTTACTCCACAGCTGACACAGAGAGAAAGCCTTTCTTCCAACCTAAAGTGTATATTTGTCAAAATACTCATTTGTGCTATTTGTTACAGCACTACTATGTTAAGTAAGACAACATACAATATAAAAATTTCACATACTGTAGTATAGCATAGTGGTTACGAATCGGCCTGCGAACCTTAAGATCAGCAGTTCGAAACTACCAGCTGTTCTGCGGGAGAAAGATGAGGCATTCTGCTCCTATAAAGATTTACAGCCTCAGAAACCCTGTACAGGGTCGCTATGGGTCAGAACTGACTCCACGGTACATAACAATAACAACAATAAATATTCCACTGGAGCCCTAGTAGCATAGTGGGTTGCACAATGGGCTACTAACCACAAGGTCAGCAGTTCGAGTCCATCAGAAGCACCAAGGGAGAATGATGAGGCTTTCTATTCCCATAGACTTACAGTCTTGCAAATCTAGTGTTTAGAAACTGGGCTGTGAACATCAAGGTTAGCAGTTCGAAGCTACCAGCTATTCTGCGGGAGAAAGATGAGGCGTTCTGCTCCCGTAAAGATTTACAGTCTCGGAAAGCCTGTACAGGGTCGCTATGAGTTGGAACTGACTGCATGGCACATAATCAACCATCAAAATCCTATACAGGGTTGCAATGAGTCAGAACCAACCAACTTTCATACACCTATGTTGTTGTTGTTAAGTGGCTTTGAGTCAGTTCCAACCCACAGCGACCCTGTCTGTATAGGATTTCCATGGAGCAGCTGGTGAGCTTGCACTGTTGATCTTGTGGTTCAAACCGATTTTGCAGTCCAGCGTATTAATTAACCCACAGCACCACACCAGGGCTCCAACTGAAAATACCTCACGTGCCTTGTGTCAGGAGTACCTTAGTCCTCAAAGTGACTTCTTTGCTCTTTTGCAGCAGATATGTCTATATGCATATGCATACGTCATTTGATTTCTTGACTGCTACAGGTGTGGCATTGCGGGTTAATGCCTGGACTGCTAGGTTAATTTGAGCTGCTCGGTCGGCTGTTCAAGCTTACCAGCTACTCCTTGGAAACCCTATACAGGGTAGCTATGAGTTGGAACCGACTGCTGTTGTCGATAAGTGCTGTCAAGTTGGTTCTGACCCATAGCAACGTTGTATAGGGTTTCCAAAGAGCAGCTGATGAGCCTGAACCGCTGACCTTGCAGTTCAAATGGCTTTGCAGTCTGGCGTATTAACCCACAGCGCCACACCAGGACTCCTGGAGCTGACTAGATGGCACTTCCACAACAACTTCCACAGATGCTGGTTCTGGATCAAGTCAAAATGAAGTCTTTGCCGACTTCAATCTTTTCTCAGTTTATATTGTGATGTTATTTATTGGTCCAGTTTTGAGGATTTTTGTTTTCTTTACATTGAGGTGCAATCCATACTGAGGGCTGTAATCGTTGACCTTTTTAATGGTAAGTACTTCAAGTCCTCTGTTTTCAGCAAGCAAGGTTGTATCATTTGCATATCACAGGTTGTTAATGAATCTCCAATCCTGATGTCACATTCTCCTTCAGATAATCCAGTTTCTCAGATTATTTTATCAGATAAAAGACTGAGTAAGTAGGGTGAAAGATACAATGCTGATGCACACCTTTCTTGATTCTGAATTATTTGGTTCTGAATTATTTGGTACCTTATTCTAACAACTGTCTCTTGGACTATCTATAGGTTCCCCACGAGCACAATTAAGTTTTGGAATACTTATTCCAAATGTTATTCATAGCTTGTCATGATCCACACAGTCGAATGCCTTTGCATGGTCAGTAAAGCACAAGTAAATATTTTTCTGGTTTCTCTGCTTTCAGCCAAGATCCATCTGACATCAGCAATGATGTCCCTCATTCCACATCCACTTCTGAATCCGGCCTGAATTTCTCCTGGCTCCTTGTCAACATACTGCTTACAAGGGCTTCTGAATAATTCTCATTAAAATTTTACTTGTATGTGATAGTAATCATATTATTCAATGATTTTCTCATTCCACTGGACCACTTTTCTTTGGAATGGACACAAATATGGATCTCTTCCAAATGGTTTGCCTGGTAATTGTCTTCTAAATTTCATGGCATAGACAAGTGAATGCCTGAAGTGTTGCATCATTTGTTGAAACATTTGAATTTGTATTCTGTCAATTTCTGGAGCACTGATTTTTTTTTTTTCTGCCAATGTCTTCAGTGCAGCTTGGACTTTTTCCTTCAGTACCACTGGTTTTTGTTTTTTTTATCTTTTTATTTAAAAAATTAAAAAAAATTTTTTTATTCTTAATTGAGTGAAGGTTTACAGAGTATATCATCAGTTTCCATTCAACAAGTCATATATTTCCTTTTATTTCAATAATTGCAATCCCCTCAATATAATATCACTTATCCCACTTCCTCCCTGTGATTCTTGTTTCCATTCTTCCTTCTTTCCCATCCCTTCTGAATTTTGTCCTTTTGATTTTGAGTGGTTGACTGCTCTATGGCATGCACACCTCACTGGTGGTGTTGCCTCCCTATATACCTATCAGGAGTCCTGGTGTGGTGCTGTAGGTTGACTGGACTCACAAGGTCAGCGGTTCAAACCCACCAGTTGCTCCCCAGAAACCCTATACAAAGTTGCCATGAGTGGGAACCAACTCGATGGAACTTAAAGACAACAACAATACCTATCTACAATACCACTGGTTCTTGATCATATCCTACCTCTTGGAATGGATGAACATCACCCACTTTTTGTTGGTACAGTGAATTCTTTCCTTTGTGAATTCCTTCTATCTTCTTTTGATGCTACCTGCTTCATTCGATATTTTGCTATATACACACATATATATACTTTTTTGCCATAGACATACATGTACATACTGATATACACTTAAATGGAGCAAACAAAATAGAAAGGAGGAGAGAGATGGAAAGCACAGATCTCTATGAAGATGAAGATAAAAATAAAATGTGGGGAGACTGACAATTTTAGAGAAATACTAAATAAAATTAATTCAAAATTTCTAAGGTAAGAAAGAGACAACCTAAAACATTGTTACTGCAGATAAGCAGCATCAGTATTACCTGAGAGAAGTCAGAAATGCAAAATCAAGGCCCCAGCCTAATTTCACTGAATCAGAATCAGCATTTTAATAAGATCTTCATCTTCAACACAGTGGGTTTTTTTTTTTAAACTGCAGGTCTCAACCCATCAGTACGTTATGAAATCAACTTAGAACCGAACTGAAAATATCAGTGTGTAATGATTAAGTTTTTTGTGAATGCATATGGGTCATGAAGTAAAAATTTTAAGTGCTGGCTGAAATAAAACACATACACCATAAGAACATATGGTGAATCTGATGAAATTACAACACTGAATTACATCTCTGTGACGATAGAAGAGGAAAAAGCAGATAAAAAATAAAAGAAACACTGAAGTCAGCGGTTAGCACCAAGAACTGTTGTTGCTGTTATGTGCCGTGGAGTCGGTTCCGACTCATAGCGACCCTTCACAGGGTTTTCAAGGCTGTAAATATTTACGGGAGTAGAAAGCCTCATCTTTCTCCCGCGGAACAGATGGAAATTTCGAACTGCTGACCGTGAGATTAGCAGCCCAATTCGCAACCACTACGCTACAAGAGCTCCTTAGCACCAAGAACTAGGGCACCAGACACTAACCTGTCTCAGTCAAGGTCCTGGATGTCAGGCTCAGAAAGGCAGATGCTGACTGAATAAACTCCCAGCTTTGGTTCCTACAATGGCGGCTGAGACGCTATACTTGACAACCGTCAGCGAAGGCCCCGATTCCCCCAGGCTAATGTTTTTGCAATAAGCTCAGACACAGTCAGTGTTAGGGCTTAGGAGAAGAAGGTAGCCTGGTCATAAAGAATGGAGGGCAAAGTTTATTCCTAGACTCTCAGAAAAAAAGGGGGGTGAGGGGTGAGGCAAGCTAATCCTTCTCTATGACCACTTCAAATACAGACAAACCCAATTCAAATACAGCCAGCCACTTTCTGGGTCAGAGCGCCGACTTGGCAAGAAATCAGGGATAACAGAGATGTGGAGTTCATCCGGTGCGGTCAACCCCAACTCTCAAGGCCCTCCTGGGTCCTCTTAATTCCCATCACACCTCGCGCAGAGCCTAGAGGCTGTCAGCGCCCTCCAAGCTCGGGAAAGGCGTGGTTTTCCTTCCCCGTTCCTCCCGTAACAGGCACAGAGGCCAGCCTAATACCCCAGCGTCTTAGCAAGTCTGGAGATGATCCCACCTTCACTTTAATTAGCATCTTCTTCCCAGTTTGGGGCTGCACACAGACAAACTGCTGCTTCTACCGCTGCGGTCTTAGCTGCCGCTCCCCAGCACTCCGCCAGTGGGAAATAACCTCTGCTTCCGGGTCACCACTGCTTAGCTCCACCCTTTTTCTTTTATTGGGGGGGGTCTCCCAAAGAGCTCAGCAGTTTTCCCGCGCTTTGTGTCAGTGGAATGGTGAGGGAAAAGAAGGCGACTGGATTAGTTACAAGAGAGACGGGCGCCTCCGCGATTCTAAGTGTCTTTACAGAGCCTGGGCTAGCAGAAAGAGGGGGAGGAAAGGACTTCTTCCAACAGGCCAGAAGGCACTTCCTTCCGTTCCACGCTGGAAGTTGTAGTTTTCTGCTGCCCTCAGCATCAATGGCAACCGTGGTGTCTCAACTCTGTTTCCCAGAAAGCTTCGCACGGCCGCCGCCGAAGTTGGAATTTTTCGGTTAGCTGTTTTCGCCGGCAATTAGTGGAATTTGTCGGCTTGGTGTAGAAGACTCATTGGGACTGCTCGAGGCCAGTTGCTAGGCAAGGGGAGCTTCGGTCAACTGCCATCTGGGCCACTGCAACAGGAAGTGGGTAATCCTATTCCGGAAACTGGTTATAGTACCCTTCATTCCTTCGTTGATTAGAATTTGCCCTTACAGTAATTTGCTCTTTGCAGGGGCGGTAGAAGGAAGAGTAGCGGAGTAGGGGAGTGCACTTCCTCTAGGTCTCTCACAACCCTTCCCAATTCTCCCTAACAGAACCCACTATGGATGTCTCCATCGAGGGTAATCGCAACTACGGGACGGGTCTGAGGTGACAGGCTTTAGGAACCACACCTCTGTTGCCCTGACTATCCACAACGGAAACGAGGCGTGAGACAGGCGCTGCCCCCGCCCTTTTAAAGGGCATTAAGAAGTAACAGGAGACTGGCTCAGTTTCCTCTTAACGTCTCTTCCCTTCTAGCCGTCAGATTCATCGCTTCCCTGAGACCTTCACCATGCCACATATTGACAACGATATTAAACTGGATTTCAAGGATGTCCTGCTGAGGCCCAAGCGCAGCACCCTTAAGTCTCGAAGTGAGGTGGGCCTGCTTCTCCAGTTGTTCTTTCCTGACCCCGAGATCCTTGTGTGCCAGGACAGAGAAAGGTTCTCTTGTTCTTAGGCAATACACATCTCTTGGATGAGTGAAATGCATTTCCTTTTGATATCTGCAGGTCGATCTCACAAGATCCTTTTCATTTCGAAACTCCAAACAGACCTACACAGGGATTCCCATCATTGCTGCCAATATGGATACTGTAGGCACCTTTGAGATGGCTAAGGTTCTTTGTAAGGTAGGACTTTTCTCCTGTCCCTTCTTCAATGGTGTTCAGTTGCCTCAGATGACTACAGAGGTTTTTGTATCCCCATCCCACCCTAGTTAGCTCTCTGGCACTCGGCAGTCAGGATGTCTGCTGTTATTCTTTAGAAGTAAGGTCTGACAGCTTCAAAGGGCCATGTGAAAGGGGTCCTGGTAGCACAAATGGTTAAGCACTCAGCTGCTCACTGAAACGTTGGCAGTTTGAACCCAACCAGCGGCTCGATGGGAGAACGACCTGATGATCTTCCATACAGATTACAGTCAAGAAAACCCTATGGCACAGTCTGTCACATAGGGTTGATAGGAATTGAAATTGACTCAATGGCACCTAACAACATCTAATGCATTTCCAAATATGCAAGTGAACTAAGAATTTCTATATAAAATGTAAATTACAGAAATGTGAATCCATTTGATTCAAAACTAAGTTTTGCCCAATTTTTCTGATACATGACAGAATTTCCCCTTTTGTCCTGTCCAGCAGTACCAATTTTTCTGACAAATGACAGCATTTCCCCTTTTGTCCTGTCCAGCAGTGCCAATTTTTCCCACTACCCAGGCCCTTCCCAGCCAATCCTGTGTATCTCTCCAATTATACCATTGTTCAACACATTGTTTTTAGTCCAGAAACGAAATAGTTTGGGCATTCAAAAATTCTAACTGGAAACCTTAAAGAGAGCAATTTGTGTACTATTCTTTTATGCCTACTATCCAGCTTTTTTCCATTTTGTCGCAGGTTCCTGCGAGTTTCTGGGATGTGTACAAAATGCAATGTTTTTCTTAAACACAGGTTGTTGTTCACTTTCAAAACAGAAGATGATGTTCCTGTCAGTATCATTACCTGACTCTATACTTGTAGCTGAGAAGGTAGATAGCCACCTGGGCACTCTGAGAACATATCCACTCCGCTGGTTAATCCAGGTAGTCCTGGTTGGTGAATTCTGCTGACATTTGTGGCTGTTAACCTTAAGGACTGCCTCTACTTTTTCTCTATTTTTAATTGCTATCTTTGTGGAATGTCTGCTGTTATTTTTCTGAGGTTGATAGTTATGCAGTTTTATTATTTATTCTTGTTGCCATTCAATAATTGCTTAGGAATCCTGCTGTTGTCCATCTGCCCTATCCAGTATTGTTGGGGAACAGTGTATCATACTTCAGTGCTAACAGACTTACTGTAATATCTGAACCTTGTTGGGAACTCTGTTTAGATGCTTCATGTTGAGAATGGCTTTTTAGTATGGCTAATGAATGATGTGGCGCTATGGGTTAATGCACTGGATTGCAAAGTTGTATTGAACCACAAGGTTGGTGGTTCAAGCTCACTAGCCATTCCTCGGAAACCTTATACAGACTCGCTATGAGTCAAAACCAACTTAAAGGCACCTAACAATGACAATGAATGCTGAAGAAATCAGACTTTAGAGATAGAGCCAAGTTTCATAGTAATAAGTAAAACATTGAAGGCAAGCATGTTTTTCTAGAACTCTATGTGGATTCTTGGGTATGATGCTATAGGACAAGCACTGGACTGCAAACCACAAGGTCAGCAGTTCAAACCCACCAGCTGCTCCTCAGAAACCCTGTACAGGGTCGCTATGAGATGGAATCGACTCAACGGCACTTAACATCTTAGTGTGTATTCAAATGTGCTCATTCTGCTACACCATGCGCAGCTAGTTCTAAGAAAGCTTGCTAAGCACCTACAGTGGTGTTTCTCAGTCTATGTGTTGGACTCCTGGTGTGGCGCTGTAGGATAAGCACTGGACTGCGAACCACAAGGTCAGCAGTTCAAACCTACTAGGCACTCCTTGGAAACACTCTACATGGTGGCTCTAAGTCAGAACTAACTTGATGGCATGTAACATCATGTTGACGGCAGAGTATTCTAAAAACAGAATGCAGAAGCAGACTTAACCAGGTAGCACTGATAACAGTCTGAGCACAGCTCTCCTTGTTGTAGGTGGATGCGTGACTTCCGTGAATTTCTCAGTCAACTGATGTCTCTTTTCAGTTTGCTTGTGTGCACTTTTAAAGCACAAACATTGGAATTTAGAGTAGCCTTTGAATGCTTTTCTTAAGGTTCTAGAGTATTGTTTACAATCTGCTGAGCTAGGGAATACAATTCTGATGAGTCAGTTGCTATGCTTTTGAGCTTGGCTGACTAAAAGATATGAAGCATTTTTTCGCTTGGTCCATGAAAATGTGCCCGTTACTCAAGTGAAGATGGATAACACCTTATTAGTTTCATTAACCTTAAAGCCTTTCCTTTTGAGTAGCTAGACTTCCTAAATTACTGCTGGTGAATTGACCGGAAGATACAAAGAATAGGTTAGTTGATTACTAGGTTACAATTTGAGGAGGGTTGATGTCCTTCTATAGCTCCTGTTTGTCCCATTGCAAAGTGTGTGCTGGCCTGTGAAATCCAATCCAGATGACTCAGTACTCTGGTGGGAACGATTGACAAGTACTAGCATGGCGCTGTAGGATCAGCACTGTACTGCAAACCAAATGGTCGGGCGTTCAAAGTCACCAGCTGCTCCTTGGAAATCCTATGCAAGTTCACTATGAGTCTGAACCAACACGACAACACTTAGTGTAAGGTGAAAAGCCTTATTGGGATTTGTAGGGAGGATAAGGAGTCCTGGAATGGCATTGTGGGATAGAGCACTGGACTGCAAGGTCAGTTTGAACCACAAGGTGGGCAGTTCAAACTCAGCCACTCCTTGAAAACCCTATACAGGGTCGCTGTGAGTCAGAACTCACTCAGTGACATTTAACAAAGGAGAATAAAGATTAAAATAAAGTTTTAGCTCTTCCACTTCAAATTGCTTTCTTTCCAACTTCGATTCCTTTCTCCCATACAGAATAGCAAAAAGGTCAATTTCTAGAAAAAGATCCTTCATGACATTCTCTTTTTGATTGCTCCCCTCCCAGTTCTCACTCTTCACTACTGTCCATAAGCACTACAGCTTCCAGGAGTGGAAAGAATTTGCTACTCAGAATCCTGACTGCCTTGAGGTAATACTGGGTGTACCCTGGTCCATTCCTTATCTCATTCTGAGAATCTTATTTTGGGTTCCTGGGAACCAAGCCTCACCTCCTACCCCTACCAACTACTCAACAGATCATCCGATGTGACAAACTAGTTGAATGCCCCCTGTGCCAATGGCACTTTTCCCCCACAGCACGTTGCTGTCAGCTCAGGCACAGGCTCCTCCGACTTTGAACAACTGGAACGGATCCTGGAAGCTATCCCCCAGGTGAAATATATCTGCCTGGATGTGGCAAATGGCTACTCAGAACACTTCGTTGAATTTGTAAAGGATGTGCGGAAGCGCTTCACTCAACATACCATCATGGTAAGTATCCTGTGGTTGGTGGTGGTTATGGAGTAGGTTCTGAATTACAGCAACCCTGTATAGAGTTTCCAAGGCTGTAAATCTTTATGAGAGCAGAAAGCCTCATCTTTCTCCCATGGAACTGGTAGTTTTGAACTGCTGACCAATTAGCAGCCCAACTCATAACCACTACACTACCACAGCTCCTTTAGGTTCCTGTAATTGGTATATTCCTGGCCTTCTTCCACTCATTCCCATCACTCCATTTTGTTACATCCGTTCCTTTCTCCTCTGCACCATTAAGATAATTCCTAGTCCACCTACTCATGTCACTGGGAGATCTGCCTTGGTTTCATGCTTAGAATGTCTAGTGATCAGTTCAGGGTATCTGACCCTTTGACTTTATAAATCCACCATTTTAGACATTACTCACCAAACTGTGATGGAACTTATATATTGCATGTATCTGTGATACATACACATCTACCCACTGAAATGAATATGCACTCAAAACACTGCTTCATAGAAAAATCTCATGAAGCAATGTTTTGTTTTATTTTACAAGCTTAGGAGTATAATGACAAGGTCTCATTTTTTTCTTTGGACTGTCCATCAAAAGCAAATTGTTGTTGTTATTAGATGCCATTGTTAGGTTCTGATTCAGTGACCCTGTGCACAACAGAACAGAGCACCACCTGGTCCTTTGCCATGTTCATAATTAGTACATTTGAGCCCATAGTTGCTGCCACAGGGTCAATCCATCTCATTGGGAATCTCCTCTTTTTTGCTGATCCTCCACTTCTTCAAGTATGATGTCCTTCTCCAGGGACTGGTCTCTCCTGATAACATGTCAGAAGTATGATAGCTGTTTCACCATTAGCCTGTATTACTATCCTTTCCCCCATCTTCCCTGAAGGCAAATCGTCTGTAACAGAATGGCTTAAGGACATGATCTATATTGGGTCTGATGTCAGGGAAGAGGAGATAAATCTACTCTAAATCAGATCTCTGTGCTTCCTCCAGTAGTTCCTCACCAAAAGCTCCTCCATGCCTCTCATGGAGCCTTGTTATTGGCCTTAGGCAACCACGTGCATCCAGGACCTCAGCTTTATGCACCAGTGATGCTGACCTCTCACCCTCCCTCCTCTTCCTCAGTGGGGTGTAGGGGAGCAAGGCATTTGGAAGTGGCTAGTCTAGAAGCCCTCAGAGGACCTAATAGAGGGGGCCCAGGTACACTTTACTTGTAATAATGTTTGAAAGTCACGGTTCAGGAGTACCATATGCAAGGGCATGCAGCCTTCTCTTAGTTTCTGACCTTAAGGATGCTCTATTTTGATTGTGTGTCAGGCAGGGAATGTGGTAACAGGAGAGATGGTGGAAGAACTGATCCTTTCTGGGGCTGACATCATCAAAGTGGGCATTGGGCCAGGTAAGCTGGTTCACTGTGGTGCCCTTTCAGTGGTAAGCACTTGTGGAGCACCTGAGTCTCATCCTTGTCCTATTCTCCTCAGGCTCTGTGTGTACCACACGGAAGAAAACTGGAGTGGGCTATCCACAGCTCAGTGCAGTGATGGAGTGTGCAGATGCTGCTCATGGTCTCAAAGGCCACATCATTTCTGTAAGGGCCAAGGGAGGCCACTAGGCGTCTGGTTTTCTGCCCAGTCTGGAGGCTCTCTGGTGTTTAGAGGTGGATCAGTACTCCTGGGTCCCTGCCAGCTCTGAGGGGGTGGCTGTCAGCACACTGCTTAAGGGATGGGACATCCTTGCTGTTCCTGCCTGATGCTCCTCACTTTGCAGGATGGAGGCTGCAGCTGCCCTGGGGATGTGGCCAAGGCTTTCGGTAAGGCGATTGGGAGGATCCTGTAAATGAGGCTAAGGTTAGATTAGTAGAGTTGGGAAAACCCATTCAGATTCTTTGGTAAAATCAGTTAGTTACCCTGATGCTTGTAGTTATCACCTGGGATAAGTCAGCAGGACAGATCCTGAGAATAAGGATCTGCAAATGGATACTGTCCCCTATTGTTGGACATGGTAGATTCCTACCCCATCCTGCCAGGATCAGGCTCTGTGGAGTGGGGCTACAAGTCTGCATTTTTTCACTTCCCAAGGTGCTTACACTAAAGTTGCTATACTCTGGGTCAATTAAAATAATAAGAAATGACCAGAAGATGGAAAATAAGCAAAAAGGAGAGAACAGAAGCCAGATGGGAAGTCTCTAGGGCTCCCTTTAAATTCTTAGGGAAAATCAGGTCCATTGAGAAATAGAAGCCAAAGCAGAAGACACCTATGTGAGTTTTGGCCCAGCCAGAGAAACAGATTCAGAAAGAGGCTGGAGGGAATTGAATATTTGGTGTGAGTTATTTTCAAGGGTGGGTAAGTGGGTATTGGGGCAACATTCATCCCTTTCCCTCCTCTTGCTGCTGACAGGGGCCGGGGCAGACTTTGTGATGCTGGGTGGCATGCTGGCAGGGCACACTGAGTCAGGTGGAGAGCTCATCGAGCGGGATGGCAAGAAGTACAAGCTCTTCTATGGAATGAGCTCTGAAATGGCTATGAAGAAGTATGCGGGGGGTGTGGCCGAGTACAGGTATGTGTGGCGGCCCAGGAGCTGAAGGTTCTTACAAAGTGTGACTAAGGCAGGGTGGCGACAGAACTCATGTCTGCTGGTTGATAGATGGTACAATTCTTGGGGAAAAGTGAACACAGGCAAAATGCCAGAGATTGGGGAAGAGTCGCTATGTTTGAGGAATGCAGAAAGAGAGGGTAATATATTTTTTCCTACTCCAAGGGCCTCAGAGGGAAAGACAGTGGAGGTCCCCTTTAAAGGGGATGTGGAATACACCATCCGAGACATCCTTGGAGGGATCCGCTCTACATGTACCTATGTGGGTGCTGCTAAGCTAAAGGAGTTGAGCCGGAGAACTACCTTCATCCGTGTCACCCAGCAAGTGAATCCAATCTTCAGTGATGAAAGCTAGACAGAATTGCCAAGACACTGACACCCCACCAATTCCAGCTACTATGGCTATTTACTACCAGTCTTTCCCATCGTCTCACCCCTGAAGGCTCTGCAACAACGCTGCAGTTTTCTACTTACACACAAAACACCAAGGGCACGTGTGGGGAGGAAGCAAGGAAGACGCTGTCTAAGACGAAGTAAAATCACCAAATGAGAATATGGGAAAATTATTAAAAGGAAAAGACACTGATTCATAAGTGTTTTATGTGACCTTGGTCTGGAAGAGGCAATCCCTTAGAATCATGTTCTGTTAAACAGCTTCATTAAATGAGATCTTTGACAATCTAAAAAGCTCAGAAGTAGTGTTTACATATTTGACACACCCCAGTAAAGAGAGGTTTGAATGACTGTAGAGAAACGGGAGGGCTTTCTGCACAAGACTGGCATCTGCGTGCTGCTCCAGGGCAAGGGAGGTAGGGTTGGGGTTGGCACTGACCATCTGCCTCATGGGACAAAGGACAGTATGCACTTCTCCCATGAAGTGTCTCGGTTGTAGCACTACTACCCCAGATAATGTGGCAGTATGAGGATTTACAAAGTTTATTCTGATATATCAGTTTTCAGAAAAGCAAAAAGATATTTCATTTCTAGACACTCAACCCTATACTACTTCTAGGTACATGGTACGCTTTCCAAGTGTTAAAAAGGCAAAGAGACTGACTCTTCCAGCTCTGGAGAGGTCAGTTCTGTCTCTAAGGAATGACTTACATTGACTTTTTGGAAACCCTAATTCCCCTGCCTCACATTACAACAAAGCTTTCACAAATCTAGAGTTTAATTACCAAGCATTACAGAGGAAACTTAGCAATGGTAGTCAGGCCACCCAATCCTAGACTTCCACGTCATTCCTACTATATTGCTTCATGGATGAGGAGGAAGGAGACAGAGTACAGATGGCATTCATCAGAGTACAGATAATCCTGTCATCGGGGTCTAGAGCTGTCTATATGATCATGGGAAGGGAGAGGCATGGCACTGAGGCCAGAATGGGGGAGGTATTCACAGAAGGTGGGGATGAGAGTGTCAAACTTCGTCTTCTGATAGTTTCCCAGAGACTCCTGCAGAGAAGGTAACAGTGAGATCCTATCATCATCCTAACCCATTTCCTGAGCCCTCCGTGTTCTGGTGCCTGTAGAGTTCTGGGTCTTGTTCTGACCATCCCCTTTCTCCATCTTTCTGCTCCTTCCTACTCACCTTCCCTTCCCTCTGGCCATTTGAGTCATCATCAGAGTCCAAAACCAAGTCCCCTATGGTAATGACAGGGCTGCACAGAGATGGAGAACTAGCTGTAGGAGAGAAAGCAGAGTTAAGCTACTCCTTGAAAGTGAACACAGGCCTGTAAAAAGTCCCCAAGTGGCAGTCTCACCCCATCAACTCAGAATATCTACCTGGCTTCTTGCTTTTAGGAGGCGATAGTGACAGTCTCAGGGGATCTAGGGCACAATCCAAGCAGTTCCTGAGGTGGGATAAAGCCAAGAAAACAGGGTGAAGGGAAAGTAGACCAGCAAAATGCTTCTAGTAGGCTGAAGTAACTGTTCTACTCACTCTTTTTGCTCTGAGGCAGATGAGTCAACTGGGTTCTCCTTTAGAGCCCTTTCCTCCAAGGTGTGAGATGGACTTTTGGGCTTTCCATTGGAGGCTGCCTTTTTGCCCACAGTGCCTACTGGATCTGTTGTGTGTGTCCCATGTTGCCTTCTACTTTCAGGCTTAGATATGCCCTGGGCTGATGAGCCCAGATTCCTAAAGGGGAACAACATGACTGTAGGTCGCTCCTTATCTCCTCTAGTGGAGGCCCATCGAGACTGGACTCTTCGTCGGCCTATAGGGGCCAGATTGAAATGATGGCCAATCAAGGGTTCTGGATGCTTCCTAGACTGTGGTTCCTGAGCAACATAAAGGCTACGCTTGGCTTTTGACAGAGAATTGCAGAATTCTAGTCTTGATTGTTGAGGATGATTCAGTTCCTTGGGCTGTGGCATGGTCACTGAATTTGTAATGGAGCACTCTGGAAGAAAAAATGAGGCTCCTTACAAACAGAACAGATAGCAACAGATAAACTCAGTATGGCTCCTTATACCTCAGGCCTATGCAGCTATTCCAGTGAGTTGTCCCAAAAGGTCTCATACTAACCAACACACCCTCAAATTCTTAGCTCTCCCAGACGGTCTTGGTACCTGGATGAGGCCACCCCATGTCCACACCATATTGGCTCAAGGCAAATGAAGAGGTGATAGAAACTCCAGGCTGCATCCAAGTCAGTACATCCTGAAGCTGTAGGCAGGGAGAGAGGTATGAAGATCACAGTCCTTGATAAAACCACCCCACACTGCACCTAGGTGTTTTGTCCCCCACAAAACCTGTTGTGTTTGTAGTGGAGGCAGTGCTTTCTCCAGCCGACACAAATATTCGAAAAACAGCTTTTCCATGGCGGCCAGAAACGGTTCTCCATACTCTTGTTCAAATTCCTGTAGGGAGAAAGGATATTTTGAAGTGGGCTAAAGAAAATAGAAACTGCATGACACTCTTCAAATCAACCAGGCTCACCTGCAGCTTTGAGGCCAAATTCACAGGGGCCTCTGACAGCTGCTTAACTTCCTGGCAAAAGGTTTCCTGTGCTTCCAAGATCTTCACCAAATCCTGCTTTGTCTGTTGAGAGAGAGGAAAGCAGATTAAGTTAGGGCTGTCAGGGTCCAGTGGCTGGAAGGAGGCCCAACTTAGTACCACTAGGTCTGGAAGTCCAGTTTGTCCCAGGCGGGCCTACTTACAGCTTTAGGGTTTCTCACCAGATGCTCAGATTCTGGGAAGTGGCGATTCAGGGCATTTAGGACCTGCGCCCAAGGCCGCCTCTGCAGAATCAACTCAACCACCACCTGTGATGGAATGCACGGTATCGAGTTCAGAATCCCCACCTCTCCTCAAACTCCGCTTTTACAACGGATTCCACTCCCAGGCTGTCTGTCTCTCGTCAAGGTCCTCGCATAGCCCACATCCCCTACCCCGACCCCACGTCCAGTTTCCACTGCCTCCAGTACCTTGGCCTTTAGGCCCATACATAGGCGTTCATGGTGCCGATAGCGAACCAGGCCAGGGGCAGCAGAGCGCAGAAATCGCAGAAACTCCAGTACTCGAGGAAATAGCTCCACGCGCCGTTCGCGTACTACTTGCCAGGTGGCTGCAGCTGCGAAACGTAGAGCCGCCGGACCGGCTCCCGGGGGCGTGGCCATGTGCAGTGGGCTCCGCCCCAGGGGCGGTCCTTCTAGTCTCTCCAATACGAGGTTCCCGGACTCTATAGCTTAGTTCTTCTGGTTGCCACCGGATCCTTTGCGATCAGATTCAGTTTTCTGTTATGGACGACCAGGATTCTGGGGGCCTTCTCCTAGCTTGGGCTGGAACCTGCGGATAACCTGGCCGGCTCGAAAGGCACTAAATCCCCCTGCTTTAAACGCCACCGTTCTCTCTAATTCGAGGGCTGCATCACTTCCGGCTCGGCAACTAGTTTTCCGGCTGCCGACAGAGGGAAATGTGACGACATGTCCTAAAGCCACGCCCTCGCAGAGCCCGCGCTCCTCCTGGCCTCTACATCCCCTGGTTGGTTTCTGGTGGGCTGCTGATGGTAACTCTCCGACCTCAGATTTCTTCACAGAGCCGACAGTTAACACGTCACTCCTTGGAGACTCGACCTCCTACTGTATGGAGGAAATCCCAGTCCCTAAACCACTGTCTGGAGTCCTGGTGTGGCGCTGTGGGTTAATGCACCAGTCTGGAAAGCTGTTTAAACTGCAAAGTCGGCGGTAGGAGCTTACCAGCAGCTCCTCGGAAACCCTATACAGGGTCGCTATGGGTCGGAACCGACTCGACATCACTTCACAACAATAACAAACCAGTGTCTAAGAGCTCTGGTAGCGTAGTGGTTACGAATCTGGCTGCTAACCTCGAGGTCGGCAGTTCGAAACTACTAGCTGTTCCGCGGGAGAACGATGAGGCTTTCTGAGCCCATAAAGATTTGTTGTTGTTGTCAGGTGCCATCGAGTCGGAACCGACTCATAGTGACCCCATGCACAGCGGAACGAAACAATGTCCGATCCTGGGCCAACCTCACTACCGCCCATCAATGATGCCACCTGGCTGATGCATCTCGTTGGGGGTCTTCCTCTTTTTCTCTGACCCTCCACCTTACCCAGCATGACATCCTCCTCCAGCGACTGTTCTCTCCGGACAATATGTCCAAAGTAGAAGAAACGAAGCTTAGCCATCTTGGCCTCCAAGGGGCACTCTGGTTGTACTTCTTCCAAAACAGATCTATTGGTTCTTTTGGCAGTCCACGGCACTTTGAGTATTCTCCTCCAACACCATAACTCAAAGGCATCTATTCTTCTACGATCTTCCTTATTCACTGTCCAGCTTTCGCATCCATATGAGGTTATTGAAAATACCATGGCTTGGGTCAGGTGCACTTTAGTCCTCAAGCTGACATCTCTGCTCTTCAGTACTTTAAAAAGTTCCTGTGCAGCAGATTTGCCCAATGCAATATGTCGTCTGATCTCTTGACTGCTGCTTCCGCCGAGTGTTGATAGTTGATCCAAGAAGAATGAAGTCCTAGACGACTTCAATCTTTTCTCCATTGATAAGAATGCTGTTTATTGGTCCAGTGGTGAGGATTTTTGTTTTCTTGTAATCCATATCGAAGGCTGTGCTCTGTGATCTTCATAAGTATATGTTTTAAGTCCTCTTCACTTTCAGCAAGCAAAGTTGTATTATCAGCATATCGCAGGTTGTTGAAGATTTACAGCCTCGGAAACCCTGTGCAGGATCCCTATGAGTCAGAACCGACTCCACGGTATTTAACAACAACAAACCAGTGTCTGGAGTCCTGGTGTGGCCCTGTGGGGCAAAGTTGGTTTGAAGCTTTAGGTCGGCGGTTCAAGCTCACCAGTCGCTCTTTAGAAGCCCTACACAGGATCGCTATGGATCGGAACCGACTCAACGGCACAAACCAGCGTCTGGAAAGTTTTCCTGGAGTGGAACGCCGCTTCCAATAACAATTCACCTGTTCTTTTACAAGACGGAAGAGGGCGTCGGCCTTAAAAAAATAAAATATCTGGTTTTCTCTGGACCGTGGGGATTGTCATCTTTTTTTGCCTTTCGGTATTTGTTTCTTGTAGCATGTAGTTATAAAATTTAAGAAAACGAAGTTTCCTTTTTCAAATTTCCTTTGCATATTTACTTCAGTCTGCCCCCGAATGTAACTCACTTGACTGTCTCCACATCAGCTTCTCTGGTGTCTTTTATTTCTATCACCAATAAGAAGCCCTGGCATACCAATGTACATTCTTTATTTATCCTGTAATAGCTGAATTAATTGCTTCTTTTTCCTACTTTGTTGTTCCTAGCTGTAGAGCCTAGTGGATTCTAATTCATGGCAACCTTATAAGGAACGAAAAATTGTCCAGTCCTGTAACATCTTCATGATTCTTACTGGTCTGCTTTACAGGGATTTGGAAACCCTATGTTGTTGTTGTTAAGTGCGACCTGCATAGAGGTTCTGAGGAGTAGCTGGTGAACTTGAACCGAAGACCTTGCAGTTCAAACGGCAGTCTGGCGCATAAACCCACAGCACCACACCAGGAAACCGTGTAGAGGGTCTTTATGAGTTGCAACTGACCCGATAGCACTTAACAACAACAATGAAACTGGCCTTTTGGGGTCATTTTCTCCATTCTCAGAGAGAATGGCTTTCACATCCATGTCTCTACCCCAGTTCAGTGTGCTGAGCTGATCCACACATTCATCTGTCCACGGGACATCTAGTTAGAAGTCCAAAGGTATCTAGAATTGTAGTTATATTCCTTTTAAAAATTACTTCTTCTACTTAGCTGTCTTTTTTTGTACATGGCATGTTTATTCACGCATGAGTCAGGCCATCACCTTAACTGTGTCTTTCCAAAGGATAGCCACCATCAGATCTAATCAGTTCCATTTCTTATATAACCTTTAACACTCCCTCCCCCCCCCCCTTTTTAGTCTCACTGTTTCTGTTCTATTTCAGGTTCTTCTGTCTCTCACTTTGAGAAGACTCTGGTCTCCCTACCTTTAGCCCACCCAATCCCTCTCTAATTTCATTTCTCATTATGAATCTTGTGAAATACAAAAATGATTCCCAAATGAAAGCTCTGTAATGGCTTCTTCCTCTACTTTTAGAAGAAAGTCCAATAATCTCTAAGACATGGTGAATTTTTAGTGCTCTATCCCAGAGTTACTGTTCTAGTACCATCCCTCTTCCCTTTTTGGTCATTATGCACCTTCATGCCAATCCTCATCTGACTGCATTTTCCAAATACACTGTGTTGTCTCACGTTTCTGTGCTTTGCACATAATGGATGATCCCTCTGTCCTCCTACGTCTCTTAGGCTTGATGTTTTCTAATCTTTCCTGGCTCAGCTGATCATTGCTTTCATGAAGCCCTTCTAATTCACTGATTCATGCTTCTCTTCTCTGGGCTTCTTAGCATCCTCCTCTGAAACACGGGGATACACTCGGAATTAGAATCAACTCCATGCCAGCTAGTTTGGTTTGGGGGCTACCTTATCCATGAGTAAAAGATATAAGGTCTCTGTCCCCACAGAATTTACATTTAAGTGGTAGGGAAAGTAGAGGTCCATGGTCAGAACACATTAACTTTGGAAAAACAGGGTTTATAATGCCCTCCCCAAGAAAACTAATGAAAATGAGCTACAGAAAACATCGAGCGAGTTTAATATATACTAGAAATTTAACATATAAATATGTTTGTTTCTTTCCAAAATATGTTTGGAGAATAGCATTCTTTCAGGTTTTTTTTGAGATTTTTAAGCATTTTTGAGCTCTAATAAATACAGGGGATCAGGGTAAAATGAACAAAAGTAAGGCAAGTTACATAGCTATGAGAAATCTTAAGCTCTCATAGGAGCAGTTTTGCTGTTCAATGTTTCTGGAAACAAATTTCACAAAAGGTATCAATAGCCTGAACCATGCTCATTATCCTTTATCCAATAATTCTAATTTAGAGATTTGTTGTTAAGTGCTGTCCAGTCAGTGCCAACTCATGCGATCTGTATAGGGCTTCCGAGTCTGTACATCTTCACAGGAACAGAAAGCCTCATCTGTCTCTAGTGGAGTGGCTGGTGGGTTTGAATTGTCAGCCTTGGGGTTGGCAGTTCAGTATTTATCCTACCGCATTACCAGAGTTCAAGTTACAAGTTTATCTTAAGAAAATAATCAAAGATGAGCACAAATATTTATGTGCTTGTATAGAATGTATATCACAGCTCTATTTGTAGTAAAAAATGGGGAAATGTTACATTTCTGGGAATGGAATACTAATTAAATAAATCATGTCATACCCATGAGACATAATTTGTTCATTTATTATTAAAATGAAATGCAACCACTGGAGTCCACTCCATAAATTTGAGAAACAGTTATAAATCACATCAACTGTTGCTTTTAAATTTATAATCAAACATTTATTATACATCTAGATGTTAGGCACTGGGGGCACATCTGAGTGAGGGTAAGACAGAAAACCCACAGAAAAGGAGTCCAGGTGTGGCGCTGTGGATTAATGCACAGGACTGCAAAGTCAGTTTGAACTTCAAGGTCGGTGGTTCAAGCTCGCCAGACACTCCTAGGAAACACCATGCAGGGTCACTATGGGTCGGAACTGACTCAACGGCACTTAACAACAACACCAAGGAGCTACGTTCAGCTTGAATGTAGAATGAAGATGGACTGCAGAGGCAGACTATCTGACTATTTAGACTGCTATGTGATTTTGGACAAGCCTCCTAATCCTTTTGCCTTCGTTTCATCTGTAAAGTGGCTGTAATAATACAGCCTATCTTATGAGGTTGTGGTAAAGACTAAATGAATTATACATAATTAGAATAGTGCCTACATTCTTATTCACCCAACAAGTAATTATTGAGCACGCCTGTGAACTAAATTCAGAGTCTATAGCAGAGAGGAAAGCAGATAAAAATCCCTGCTCTCATTAAATTTATATCCTACTTGGGGGAACGGAGACATAATAAACAAATGTGTAGTTAAAATATTTATTATGTTAGATGGGACTAAGTGCTGTGGTGAAAAATTAAGCAGAGGAGTAACGAGGGGAGTGGGTTGTAATTTAAACAGAGCGACCAGGAAAGCCCTCATTAAGATAATGATAAGGAATCCTTGGGTGGTA